GTCCTATCCTAACAAACCATACATCAATGGAAAGCTCATTTATTCTGCTTTCAGCTGATGCATACATCTCAATTTCGAGAAATTGACCCTTAAGACTGGTTTTGTGCTCCAGGGTCACATATAGAAGATTTGTCCCGATCAGCAGATTTGTGGGCTTTGCTGTGGCTTTCCTCTGTTTACACTGCTCTTCCTCAGAGACGAGAGCAGCAGTTTTGCACAAAGGTGTCTGGTAACGATCTGCGGTGTGGTTTGTGTCAGCTTCATCTGCATCCACATCCTGATGGACATGCTTTGCATTCGCTGCAGATCAGCATGCGTCCGTTTCTAACCAAAGCTGCACCTCCTGGAAGTGAAGTCACAGTGCAGACTGCTGGCTGTGTTACTACCGAGGAGACAGATTGCAGTCATTTCACAAATATATTGATCTGGATGTTGTCCAAAAAATGTCTTTTTAGATTTCATCGCCTCCCTGAAGAGATAGTTTGGTTTTATGAGCTACAGTTTCAACATTTGCTTTTGTTTCCTCTGAGAGCTGATGTGATGTCAGTCTCATATAATGAACCGGAGCACATTTTAATTAACATAACTACCACTCGTGCTATTTCTGCACTGTTTAGTTTGTGCACTGCATGCACGGTTTCTGTCTGTATGAACCTGGATGATCTACATTTGCAAAAATGAGCAGTATGCATGAGCAGGCAGTTCACTGCATACTGTATCCCACAATGCATTGCACTCAACTTGAGCTACCATTTACAGTAGAAGTGCTCCATTATTTCAACAGACTGACAAATGCTGCATATGTTACAAGCTTGGTTTAAAATGCTAAATAATTCCATTCTGAGATAACTGGATGCCACAGGCTGAATATCCAAAGTGACTCGAATAATATCAGAAGCAATTTGTCAAACGAGCCTCAAAATTCATAGTATACACCGAAAAGTTTAAAGTGTGAGATATAGGCGTGTACAAGAAGAGCAGCGTAAGAGAACCAGATTTTGTGTAAACGAGAGTTGTCTGGGGATTGTTTGGGTAAGAGTTGTGTTAGAAGTGTCTTTAGACGTTTCTTGAAGGTTGTGATGGTCTCAGCGAATCAGCTGGAGGTTTACAGCTCGTTCCACCAGAGAGGAACAGAGACGGTGAAGGTTCTGGAAAATGACATTATACTTAAGCGTGTGCTCATGATAGTGTATTTTCTTCCAGTTAAATTGGCTGCATG